GGGTTCTGCCAAAAGTGACTGATAAATTAGTATCTCTGGGCAGAGCAAACAGGGGGCGCAAAAAACTAAACAAATCCACGGATCCTGCTCAGCCGGCGGGAGTCCAAAGTCCAAACATAATAAACATTTTCAAAAGAAAACTAAGAAATTGATTAGGGTTTATATATTGAAAGCTAAAACCCCAACTCTAGTTCCCCCGAATTCTGAAAGCGCTATGGATGAATCGCGTGCCCAGCCCGTATGCGCGCAGGAGGCTCTGGATCTGCTCAATTGCGTCACTCAATCACCTTTCGATCAAGAAAAATGCGTCCGTCTCTTGCAGTCTTTGAGGGAGTGCGTGGTCAACAAGGTATTGTTCACTTCTCATCTTTTAAGCTTTAATTTAGTATCAATTTCGTTATATATATATGAAATCCGTGCGATTTTCTTCTAAATGATATTATGAATTGATGGTCCGACTGATTCGCATGGATTCTGTTTATTTGTTTATGTTGGTTTTGAGGCTGTGAACTTGCTTAATTCAATCTTGAAAAATTGCTCGAATGAGACATCTGCTTAGCTTAAGTTGTTGCAAGTGTAATTAGATTTGTTTTGTGTAAGATACAATGTGTAACTAGATGGTGCCTCTTTTCTGGGTCCAAATTGTTAACCAGATTTATATGAGCTCAAATTTGGGGTAGCGTTTTCGACCCAAAATCTACATTGAATTGGTATTTGGTTTAATCTCCAATGTTGTCAAAAATCTCATTTTGTAACGACTTAATGTGCGTTTTTTCTTTCAATGATATTACTTCGCTGGCTGCTTAAGGTCTAATGAAACAGATCTTGTTCATCTCCTTGATTTTTTGTTTTTTTGTTATCAATTTCTGATCTTCAAGATTGCATGGATTCCTTAGATGAGAAAAATGGTACTTTTCCCTTGTTTTATTCCTGATGACATTGATGTTGTATTCAATCTAATTCAATATTTTTGCATTTCTTTTTCTTCTGTCTCACACTTGGATATGCTAGTCATTGGAAGAACTCTGAGGGCCTTTGTAATTTCTTCCTCCCATGTAAGATAGGTGAAAGTATCTAGTATTTTAGTTGGCTCTATTCAGCCCATCCAATGTTTGTTTGTGGATGCAGATGGGTGCAGATTTATCTAGGAGCAAAGTTATTTTTCTTTATAATATGATTTACTTATGAAGAAATGTAGCTTTAAAAGTATAAAGAAACAAACATAACATTTAATGATGGATTCCTTCATTCCACACAATTTAAGTTTCCAGGATTTGGAGGCTGTTGGTATTTTAATTGCAAACCAAGTGGAATGACAGAATTTCTAATCTATGTGCGTAATGACTAACTTATTTATGCCTCTTTTCTTGACTAATCTGTTCTTTCAAACATGTTGTTCTTGACAGAAAGTAAAGAAATTTTCACTGGATGATAAGGGGCAGAAGGATGCAAATTCAGTTAGCAAGAAAGTCCATTGAGATGCATTACTGCTCCCTGATTTAGGAAAAGCACTTGGTGGTGTAATTGTAAAACCCATTGAGTACTTTCTGTTTTACTTTGATTTAATGTTTTTCAGATCTCCACAGTTTAGGTTGTTGCACTATTCATCGTTTCCCTAATTTCCCTAGGCCAATACTATCAAGTTTTTAGGCCTTCACTAGATTCTTACTTTCTGCGTACATGTGTTACATGAGGGAGAAAATTTACATGGACTATTAATCTTTTTCTCTTTCCCATCATCTCAACACACTGTTTCTTTCTTACCAAAACCATTTCTATTCATCACATAGAATTAATTCATGCCATGTTTGAGTATTCAAAGACCGGATTGTTGCAATAAACTGTAATTTCCTTGATAAATTAAAAGGGTGATGGTGAAATTGTAGATCCCAAATCTGTTATGGGATGGAAATGAAATTAAAAACTAGAATTCAACCAAACAGGATGATAACATTATCAATAGCCACTACACCCAGATACCATTAGTCCAAATTCACATCTCTATGTTCAAACCAAAAGGAGCACTCACATCATACAAAATCTGCCATGCTAATATTGAATCCACTGTTTTCCTTTCTCTCAAGTCTGAACTAAAACAATACACAGTAATCCCAAATCCACCCCCATTTCCAACTTTCTACTTAGAATCCTTAAGCAAAATCAGCGGCGTGGATTAGGTAAGTCAGCACCAACGCAACAAGCATCAAAATGTACGCGATCCCTTGGTCAATTGATGTCCCTGTTCCACATCAAATCGCGTTTCAATTCAAATTCAAGAATGTTTGTGTAAAAATCTATCATTTCTTCTACTACGCTAAAGATTTGAAAGCACGATAAAGATTTTGCATGTATAGAAAGAGAGATGAAGAACTGACCATCGCTGGTGGGGGCTGGAGCGGGGGCGAATGACTGGGCTTCAGCAGCAGGCAAGGCAATGGCGAAAACAAGAGCGGCGAGAACAGCCAATGAAACCCTGGAAACTGCCATTGTTTCTCAAAAATGCTCGATCTCTCTCTGCGACGTCTCTCGAAATAAAATCTTCGCCGTAAACGTCCCTGCAGAATGGCTCCGGCGAGCCGCGCAGAGAGAGCAGAGATTTTTTAGCCAAAGAAAACGATGATGTGATGGGTAAAATCGAAAGGTGTGGGGGGATGGGGAATATTTTATATGGGAAGGCAGAGGTGGGGAGAGAAAGCCGGTAGAAACGGTAACCGGTGGGGGGAAAATGTGGGGTCCAGGCGCATGTGCTGCATTCTACTAATTCGCTGACAGTTTCCATGTGAACCGTCGATTTTCCCGCCACCAGTCGCCTTCACCTCTTTATTGCGACATGGCATGCTAACTTTTCCATATGCCGCCGTTCTGATTCGGCCACGTGTTACCTTTCACCATATTTACCCCTTTTTCTCCTCTCTTTATTTTTGGAGTATTTTATTTTTTTATTTTACTTTTCTCTTTCCTCTTTTCCTTCGCCACTGTCCCCTAGCCTTCCCGTTCTCACTCTCTTTGGCCTTCCCTTTGTTACATCCCTCACCGTCCGGTGAAGGTGCCGCACAGAACCGACGAATCTTTTGTCGCCGGTGGCTTTCCTAAGCGCTGTCCAAGTTTGGGGGCCAAGAAATTTGAAAATGAGAGTGCTCTGTTTTATTGATCGCTGTGTGGCGTCAGATCTATGCTTCAGGCTCCGATCGGTGGAACCACGGCGCCGGACTGTTCCTGGAGGACAGATCTGACGCCATTGACTGCCGGATCTGTTTCTCAAGGTGCCAGTGGGGAGCTTGGATCCGTCCTGGGAGCCAGGATCCAAGTTGCTGTCCTTCATTTTCTTGGACTGTTCTAATCACTCGATCTTAGACCTTCCTCTGGTAACGATAGCTCTTTCCTTAATTCTCAACTGTTAATCAATGATTTCGTGTCATTCGTGACCTATTGCGTTGAATTCCTTTGAAACAAACATAATCACGTGCAAAATCTTCTGTATTTTTTTTTCTCTGTTTTTTGGCTGAGACCTTAGGATGCGTGATGTATGATGTTTAGATTTTTTCCTGTAATTTTGATTTAGATTACTGTACGATTTTTTAAAAATGCTTGCTGCTTTTAGAACTCTAAAGATGATAGTTGTTGTTTTGATTTGATATAAGTTAATGTATGATTTATGTTTCGTTAGAGTAATAGGCTCAACTGAAAATTGGTTTCCTGTTCTTGTTCCTTTTGATAATGCAAGGTGGAAGGTAATAATGCCATTTCATATTCTGATTCAAGAGAGGCAACAAACAAGTGATGCAGAGTTAGCCCTTTCATTAGTTACTTTGGAATCACCAGATCTTATCTCAATTGCAGGTCAATAGGAAGAAGACTCAAGGTCATTTCCCTGACTGAACAGTAAATTATTGTTAATGTATTGATGTCCTCCTTTTACTCAGTTACCCTTAATCTCATTTAGTGCTTAAAATGGTAAAACATTGTTGTCAATTACTCTGGCCTAGGTTCAGCCATTAGTCCTCAAATTATGGTATGGTAGGGAATTTGTGACTAGATGGTGTTGCTTCTAGCACTACAATTGCCTTTACTTTTCTTCTTTACCAGCTTTCATGTAATGCCCCATCTTTTGCATCTGTCTGCTGACTCATATATAATAACATTACCAGTGATAAGATATACCTATTAGTTTTAGTTGGATTCTTCTATATATCGGTCCAAAGTTTCATGTTGAGTGGGCCTCATTTTATTAGAGCGTACTTGATACCATGTTTGCATCCATCAATAATTCTCTACTGGTTCTCTGTTTTAATGTTTAATTATGGTAGAGAATGTGCTTTCTTGCCTTGAGGTGCTATCATACTTCATTATGGTATTAAGGTCCCAATCCTCAAGCAAACCTAATTCTGACATACTTCTTTTTGCAGCACACGATATTCCATATTTGGTGGAGGATCACATATTCAATCATGGGGAATTCTAATCATGACCAGAGCTTACTCAGAAATAGCCACAAGGTACTTCTTGGGGTGGTGTTTTCTTCAAGCATGAGTTTGGCTTCCTCTCTTAGTGCTGATTGACAAATTACAGGTATGCACATATTTTTTTTTCTTTTTGTTGCAAATTTTAAGGAATTCTTAATTGTGTTGTAACCATAGTTATTGATACCGTACTGGCCAGATTGAGCAAAAGAGGGAACAGTATAAGGATTGTTTTGTACCAATCCAAATACCAGGCATACTGGACAAAATGCAACGTATCGGCCAGTATGCTAAATTTCAGCCAATACATTTAAATAGTTCCATTTTCTGATTTTTCACTCATTTTTTTTCTTTTTAAATATGATAACATTGGTTATAACAGTTCATAGCTTCCACTTTCATGGTCCATGTTTAGGTGGCTTTTTTCTAGTTTAAGCATAAAATATTGTCAGCTCTTTTCTAGTTTAAGAGTAAAATATTATCCTTTGAATTCACTGTCTTCATATAAACCCCCCATCACCATTGCCATAAGAGCTAAGGCTAGCTGCTCAAAAGTTTTTGCACCTTACATATGGAATATCATTTAATCCTGTTTCATCACACATCTCACAAAAGGAGAGGGAGGTGGAATCCTTGATATTTACCCCCTCTCCCTCTCGTTCCTTTTGAAAATTTAAAATGCCTCTAAACATCAGCATGTGGTATTGAGGACTCAAACTCTTAAACGTGACTATAGCCTACCAGTTTGGCAATGTTAGGTTGGACCTAGAGGCTGCATACCTATGGTACTTTCTTGTAGTCATGTTGAATGACAACTTTTTTCTTCTTTGGTCTTTCAAGATGTAACTTGACATTGTTAATATTTAATGCTTTATACCTTTCATTGACCTTGCTAGATGAAATGAATGGATCTTCAAGGTGATGATATGTTGTTGATGCTAGAACAGTCTTTTTCTCCACTGAAGCCATGAGACATGCCAATTTCTAGGGGATTAAATGATTAATCTCCCTGAAATCTTGTAGGTTTTTCACCCTGCCTACCTAATTATTTATTTGCCAAATCCTTTATACCCTAGCAACAGATAATGGTTGACAATATGTTTGAAGTCTTCCTCATTCGCACATTTGAAAATTGAAATATTATTTAATGGAAAGCCTTCCATTTACAGGGACATGATTATTTAGGAAATGCATAGAAAAAGAAAGATTTACACACCAATTGCATCTAAAATTCTAAATATTGGTACAGATTTACTAATATATATGAACTTTCTGCCCTTTTGTATTTCACTTAAATGTAAGCTGTTAGTTTAGTTCATATTTTAACGATATTCTACAATTGGGAAGTTAGTTTGCTTGAGGTTTCGTTGGAACTTAAAAGGATTTTATTTTGAGAATGTTGGTTCTTTTTATTTCCTTTTTTTACTTTCTTTTTAGCACACTCTTCAGTCTCCCTTTATTTTTGTGGTCACAGATAATTTTAACCATGACTTGTGGTAGTGCAGACGCAAGTTCTAGGTTCTTTCTCTTATTTCTTTCTTTATTCAGGTCAGGTGATCAGGGGAACAGAGCGGTTGGTAATGGGATCGTTTGCGAATCTGCGTTTGTTTGTTTATTTATTTATATATATTTTTAAAAATATTATTTTGTGGCCTGGCGTCAGTTACGGCAGTGATCATTTGTGAACCTGCGGAAAAATTTAAAATAATAAAATAAGGTAAAAAAAATAAGAACTGACTGAAAAATATGTAACATTTTTTCTGGTGCCAATCGTACGTTAATGATCTATGTATGGGCTAACATTATGATTTGGATATTACCCAATGATATTTTTCTGCTGGATGACCCTTTTTAAGAGGTTAGTCGGTAAAAGCATTTTACGATGGATCAAACAGCCGTGCTATGTTTTCACAATTTTCAGATCTCCATTTTTTCCTGCAAAAGCCAATTTTTAAGTAATGTGTTGTATTTAGCTAATTTTTCAATGAATTAATAATATTTGGGCCAAATAATGCAACTGTGATTTGCGCGCGTTCAATGAAATGGAGCAGCGGTATGAAAATCTGCTGACTAAATGGGCCGATTCAATAAAAAAGAAATTAAAGGGGTTGAATCAAAGGCCCATGAGGCTAACGTGTGATAATCATTGGGGTGATAAGCTCCTAATCCGCGGGTGCAATATGGGCTTAAGGCCTGGGAAGGAAAAAAAAAATTAAGGCTTTGTACCTTAAAAATTATGGGCCTCGGGTCAGTCCAAATTTTATGAGCATGATAAGCCCATTAAACATAATCCTTCAACGTTGTGGGCATAATTGGGCTCCAAATAATAAAATTATGGGCCTGCAAAGTGCAGTTATTTGGCAAAATGGCTGGCTAGTGGGCCCACTCTTGGGCCCAGGTGACCAATTTATGGGCCCAGTTTAAGATTCATGGGCCCTAAATGGCGGGCTGATGGGCCCAAATGATGTGATCATTATCGGCCCAATATACTGACTAATGGGCCCCATGAGGATTTTGTGGGCCCAAACCAATGACTCATGGGCCTACATGACGGCTTATGGGCCCAAATCGCGAATTTGTGGGCCCGAATCATGGATTCATGGGCCCCAAATGGTTGGCTCATGGGCCCAATCACTAACTTGAGAGCTCAAATCACATGTTTATGGACCCAATATGAAGGCTTATTGGCCCAAAATGATGGGCCTACGAGCCCAAATGATATACTAATGGGCCAAATCCACAAATCACCGAGTTATGGGCCCGAATGTAAAATTAAAATGGATAAAAAGCTCATCTAGTGAAACCTACTGTTCAATTAGGCTCCACAACGAAAAAAATATGGCAACCCATGTTGTAAACACTTTATAGGCCCAAATCATAAATGTACGGCAGTACTACCCGATTGAACGAGCGTTAACCAGGACCAACTGTGCACCGGGCTGTGGATACGGTATACAACCTTTGCCCCCGGTTGTGATCAATTACATGGGCCCAAGTGATATCCGCTCGAAGGCCTAGTTCACCTCGAACATGCCTAAGAAAAAGCTTTCATGGACCAATCAGTCCAGAGTTTGAAAATAATTTGTGAGCCTGATCCATATAATTAGTCGTTAACAGTATGCCCAACATGAAAGCTTCTGCGTGCCTGATCATGCGCAACCTTGTAAACTTAAAGGCAACCTGATTAAATTGAAAAAACAATTCTTTTCCTTCGTGTGTGCGCTTGTGAACAAAACTGGAATTGTTTTTTTTTTTTTTTGGAACTTAAGCCCCCCCCCCCCCCCCCCCCAAAAAAAAAAAAATAGAGGACTGATGATAAGCCAGCATCTTGCATCTCCCAGCTAACAGATCTTTCTACTTTCAGGGAACCTGCGACCAAAGCCGAATATATCATAACACCCAGAACCAACTCCAACTACTAAGGCATTTTTAACATGAAAGGTCATTTAAAGAAATTCCTTTCACTGAAATCCCTGAATTGGAACCATTCATCCAAACACAACCTTCAAGTGCAGTTTAATTCAGGGAAATTTTCTTCCCAGGAGCCGTATGGTCAAAGAGTATTCACAGAAAATTAAGCCAAATTATGTGTTTCTGTTTACAATTAGACAAGGCAGTAAAATCCCTTGATGATAACATGCAATTGGATGGAAAATTTATGAATTTCACTTACATCAAACCTGAAGTTCCAATAAGACTTACAAAGCTACAGAATTTAAGCAACGATTTTTCATAATAAAAAATATGGCCTTAAATTTTTCCAAAGAATATTTGAAATGAATTGTTGTCTAATTTCGCTTTCTAATATAAAATACAGAAGTGTTATTGATACATCTTACAATGGGCTACTCAGGGGAGAACCTCCCCTTACTTAAACCTCTCATAACCATTGGATTATCCCCAAGTCACACCAGATGATTTAATTCAGGTTCATTAGATAGGATTTTAATCCAAGTGGTGTGGAGGAATTCCAACTTAGAACCTATCTTCCCTTGAGACTTCAGTTATTTTTAGTTTCAAGAGTCTTTTTACACTTGGAGACAGCTTCAGGGACTGTCATCAATGAAAAGATATTACCTCTGAGATTTTTCCTATGAGGTCTCTCTTCATCCTTACACCAGATGATTTTTGTAGAATAATTAACTATTGTTACAGCCTTTTCAAATATTGATAATCAAGCACTTGGGCCTCACGGCCCAACGGCCATAGGCCGGCTCGTAAGGTGCATTGAGGGCTGGGGTTCAAATCCCCCCACCCCCAATTTGTAACCCTGTTCAAAAAAAAAAAAATATATATATATATATATATATATAGATAATCAAAGGAGTTTTTGCATTGATGTAAGCTTAACCTTGAGAAGCTAACTATTGCTCCTAAAAACAAGGATAGTTACTATTGTAACTATTGCTACTATAGTTTTCTCATATTAATTAAATTTACAAAATAGTCATGTATCAACCTATTCTATATTAACAAGATATGATATACTATTTCCAATAGTATAATTGATTGTTTTAAAGTAATATCTCTAAAGAGGAGAGGATAATCTCTCTTTTCACCTAGGAATTGATGAGCTTTTTCACATCCACACACAATTAATCATTGAACTGATATTCTTAACAAAACTAAAAAATAAAAATCACTAAACACAGGAACAGACTTAGTTTGCCCCTAACCTCATTTCTCTCACTTGGAAGTAGCTTCCTCCAAAAACCAGGAGGTGTGCTTTGCAAGTTGAACAGAGAGAAGTGCTTAATCCCTTGACAATGCTGTTAGAGAAAGTTGAGCACAAAAACTTCCATATGAATCTATGACGGTTGTTCCAATGGTGGCAGTTGCACCATTTGGGACCACTTTTTCCAAAATGAACAGGTTTCTGCAGAAAAACAACATAGTTCTAGCTGCATACTTGACAAAGAAGCCTTTACCATTTTTCATTTCCACTAATCACAAAGCAGAATCCTCATCATCATCACTAACAACGAAGGATGTCTTTTTCCCCTAAAGGAAATACCATTTATTATTTTATTTTCTTCAGTTAGTTCCAAGTTATTAGCCTAAAAGTAATTAATAATCTAACCAGCAACAACCACACTCTTGCGTTTCTCTTCTACTCCTTTGCTTCTCCTTGCTTTTACCAACCTCGAACCCATGACCTGTGGCTTAACCATTTCGCAAAATACGCCAAGCCAGCAGGCCAATGGAAAGGCTGGTTCTCTCTTCTACTCCGTTCATATCACTAAATTCAAAAACTACGTTTAGACAATAATTTAATAACCCTTTCCAACACTATCTATTTGTAATTTTTATATTTCCAGGATGTGGGTTAAATTTTACTCTAGTTTTCCACTCCAAACATGGTTATATATACTTTTACCGAAGGCTTGGCAGAAAATATATTGAAAAATGAAAAAACATAACTGGAGAATTTTGTAGTGGTCAACTTCAACAAGTTTTCAGTACATTACTAAGTTTCAACAATTTTGACTGACTTCTTTCTACACTCTTCCCCAAGAAAACCCCCATAGATTAACCCATACTGGTAACCGCATCATTTCTGTCACAAAATGCTAAAACTTATTCCACAAGCTATCAATTGCTGGCAGTTAATTAGTCACTAAATGAAACTCATATGTCAACACCTTTCCTATAACATCAAGAGCCCCAAAGACATTCAAAAGAATTTCCAAATAATAATTTTGCAACTGAAAAAATGGCTTAAAACAAGAATTCACTTCATTTTCAAATAGAAATTAGAGGTTACAAGTTAGTGATTTCTAGTTAATCCATAATCCATACGAACCTTCAGCAAGGAAATCCTGAACTTCCTAATGTCCACAAAGAGTCAAATTCACCATCCAGAGCATGATTTACCTATGATGACTCCTAAACTTTTTCGACCTATTGCATGGCATAACCAAGTAAATACTAAAGATTTTTAAAAATAAAAGAAGAGTTTGCTCACTATGAGTCACAAATGCTAAAAGATGCCACAGAAACAGACTATGATTATTGCCATTTTCATATTGGATTTTTATGTTCTTTAATATTGAAACAAAGTTACAAACACAAAAATTATGTAATTATAATTCAAGATTCAATAAACATATTGCCATAAAAAAAAAAAAAAAATTCAATAAATACACGAGATTTGTAGCTTAACTAGGACATACAAAGCAGACAAAGAGGTAGCTAATAAAACCTTGAAGAGAGTGATGAGTGAAATATGATGGTTTTAGATGTCTCTTATAAACATAGGAAACACAATCCTTAGGTAATTAAACAGATGACAGATCCAGCAGCCAATCCAAGAAGAAACTAAGACTGAACAACAAAAACATCAGCCATCAGGCTTGTTATTAAAAAATTCATCTCCGTATCTATCACTTTCCTCTGGACTCTAATAGCAAGAAAGATCATGATTCTAGAACCCTAACTCAGATCAAGAAATATTCAGGCACCATAAAATTAGTTTACCTGAATAGGTTTCTGTTCCTATCGGCGATGTAGAAAGAGTACCGATGCTTCGTCGGCGGGCTCAACTAATCCACCAACGATTAAATACGCAAGCGAGCCTCCGGCGAGGACAGCGAGAATGTCGAACCGAAGATCGATCTGGAAGATCAAGATTCAGATTCGTGATTAGATATTAGGAGATCAAGATTCAGATTCGTGATTAGATATTAGGAGATTAAGACTCAGATTCGTAATGAAAAGCCTATGTTGGATGCCATTTAACAGATGAACAATCAGAATCTTGACGAAAAGGAATAGTACCGTCAATCAAGCGCAACCTCCGGAGAAATGGCGGCGGATTCATTCTGCGGAGGCGGCTGAAATGGTAGATATGCGATAGATACGGTGATTACGGTGGTCGCCAACGTGATTACGGTGACCATGGTCCGATGGCAACCGAGGAGTCTGGAGGAAGAAGGGTTAGGGTTTGTAGTGTTTGAGTAGAGTTTTCTTGGGGCGAATTGGAAACATATGCCGTAGTCCTGTTGGTTGAGTGTTTATCTCAAAAATATTCTGGTCATGGATATCGGATTCGAAGGATCTGGTAATCGGAGCAGAATTGGAAACATACGCTAGTATTTGGGAACGGTTGTGCGATTTTCTCAAGTTGGACCACTGGCTTATATATGGTTTTTTTTGTTTTTTTTTTTTAATATATATATTTTTTAGAGTAATGATAAATGTAAATAAAATTTAGAAACAGAAACTGCAACTAATAAGATGACTTATGGCAT